TGTGGGGGCTTGCTTGCTAGCTCGGCTCGCAGCCAGCGCCAAGAGTACTGGTCGGGACCGGCATCGCGGTTGAGACCGAACTGGGTTGTGGGGAAGGGGGAAGGGGGTAGGGGGTAGGGGGAAAGCAGTCACGCAGTGTCAAGAGCCCAGGAGACCACATCACGAAAGGGGGGATGGGAAGGGGTGTGTGTGTGTGTAGACTACACATACACACACACCCAATCACATCGGGCTTGCAGACATACGCACGCACACGCTCTCCATGCTTTCCTTTCAGCGAAAGGCATATTATCTTGGTAAGGTTGATACCGGAGTGTGCGAGGCTCAGGGCTTGGGCATATGCGCCAACCCCCGAAACAATACACACACGCATACACACACATTCGCACCTGTATGCCTGTATGTACACCCAAGGGTTTACAGAGTATCATGTATCGTACCCTGCCCTCTGAAGCCCTCCCCCCTTTTCCCCCTCCCCCCCTTCCCCACGCGTACCTTCCCCTCCAACAAAAACACACACGTGTAATGACCCGTGAGGGTCTCCAGAGCCCAGGATGTCGTACCCCCGTCCAGGAGGGAGTAGCTGCCCACGTACTTGGCCATGGCCTTCTCCTGTGTGTACGGCAAGGCGAGGTGAGGCGAGGAGTTGCGGTCATGACGGCAAGGAGAGCGGAGGGGCGGCTGTGGTGTCACTGATAGCGATGGTGGTGGTGTGGTGATGGTGATGGTGGTGGTGATGGTGGTGGTGACGCGCATGGTACGACGAAATGGCTCCTCCTGCACCCACTCCATTATACACAACCTCTCCCGCAACCCTCAGCCCCCACCCCCGACATCTCCCCCCCCTTACCAGCAGCAGCACCCAGGCCTCATTCCCAGAGGGCTGAGCGAAACAGGGCTGAGCGCCCTGCTGCCGCCAAACGGGAATGCTGCGAACAACACGGAAAAGGAGAAAGAAGATGAATGAAAATGAGATAAAACGCGAAAAGGAGAAGAAAGACATACAGAAAACGTGAAAAAACAGAAAACGAAAAAGAAGATGAGGAGGAGATGGAAGAGGAGGAGGAGGATGGCGGCATTGAGGAGGAGGAGAAGATAACGAAGAACAAAGACGGCGCGGGCGGGAAAAAAGGGTGGAAATATACGAGGGTTGGCGAACAAGAAGAAGAAGAAGAAGGAGAACAAAATCCCCAATATCTGTTATTAATTAAACCCGTACAGACATACAGACGTACCCCTTGTAACAGCTCCTTAAAGCTTTGCCGCGCCGGCCTCCCACCCTTCCTCCAAACCCGTACCCGTTACCCCGACTTCTTAACCGTAACTGCAACTGTGTCCGTAACCGTAACAACCACCTACTTGTCATCAACCACCACCTCGCGATATCGCTTGACCTGCTTGTCCCACAACTTGAGCTGGTATCTTTCAAAAGGTGAGGGAAAAGTACGTACAAGCAAAAACGGAGGAAGGAAAGGGGACGGAGAGAAGGGGGGTTAAGTGGGTGAGGAGGTTGCGGAGGTTGTAATGGATGTTACTTACTACTCCCACCCTCCCCCTGCCCCTCCCCTTCCCCCTCCCTCCCTCTCCCCCTCCCCCTCCCCTTCCCCCTCCCCCCTTCTCCCCCTCCCTCCCTCTCCCCCTCCCTCCCTCT